ATTGGACTGCCGGACGATTAATTATTTTAAGTTTAGTCACTCCATTTCAGGAACTTCAGCGACACTGACAGTTTGCGTTACAATTCTTATTTGCTGCTTTTCATGGGCAACAACCACGACCACTCTTTCGAGCGCAAGTTCCTCTCCACGGGCAGGAAACTTTTACTGACCCTTGGTCCTATTTAACAAGGATGGCAAACTTCAATTTTAAAAGGTATTGGTATTTAATTTGAATGTACATACTGTTTGCATGAATTTTTTATTTACATTCACCTCAATATTTACTTTTTACAGTATGGTGCATAACTAATACCCCGTTCACACAAAAGCTTAAACATGTTTAAATCTTGTTTTACTAAACTGGTTTTATTAAACTACCTGTTCACACCGCGGGCGCGTGTAGCCAAACATGTTTAAAACCGTGTTTAATAAAACTACCTAAATGAGGTTGTTTAACTTTCGTGTTTAACTAAACACATTAAAGATGGCGGTTGCCAAAAAAACCCGCGGAAGGATTTGGGAAAACCAAGAAACGTTATTGTTACTACAGAAGTGGGGGGACGAAAATATACAAATGAAGGTAATATCTTGTACCAGAAAGAGGCCTATATGGCAAGAAATAAGTGGTTTTATTCGAGCGGCAGGCTACGAAGACCGTGATGAAGATGCCTGCAAAACAAGAGTACACACATTAGTAAGTGCGTATCGCTCCTACAAAGACGAATGTGAGAAGACCGGAAACGGGACTCCAAAGAGGAAGCCGGCGTTTTTCGACGAAGTCGATGAATTTCTCTCAAAAAAACCATGTACCAAACCGAAGGTTGTGGTAAATTCTTCAAAAATTATCATTCAGGCGGACAACGAAGAAGAAGACAATGAAAAAATTAAGAACGATGAACCAAACGAAGAGTTGCCTTCCTTCAGCGGCGGCACCAGCGTCGGCAGCAACAACAAAACAGCCGGCAAATTTCCTCAACCAAACAAGGGTGAATGTTTGACAGGTGAGCTTTGAAAACTTTCGCTGATTGGAGGGTCAGACAATAGGCCAAGAAAATGTTTCAATATCGGCGCCTACGTTGTCTGTAATCTCTAACAAAATTTCTTGATAATTTTACTTCCAAGATGAGTGGAGTTGAACAAAAATATTGAGATAAGTATTGGCTCAAACTTTAACTTCTGCCTTTAAAGATTTCTTGTATTCCTTCACAGAAAGAACATCAGATGCTGGCAAGCCATTTTTCAAACCCGCTACGAAGAAGCGGAAGGTGTCAACGACGGATGCCTGAACACAAATTGACAAGGCGTTAGAGGCATTTGTTTCCTATCAACAAGCTGCTGATAGGAGTTTTCTTGCCGCAGAGGAGGCTCGTGAAAGACGAGAAGAAGAAAGGGAGGAGAGAAGAAGGAAGGAAGACCAGGAATTTCTGCTGAAATTGGCGCAGGTACTTCGAAAATAAAAAGTACGTGTCTTCAACAATTTAATTTGCGATCGTACCTGCGACAGTTTCAGTTGGTTTAGTTTTCGTCTTTATTTATGCTGTAAGTTGAACGATGTTTCACGAAATCTAATGGCCGATTCCCAGTCGTTGGAGAAGGTGCAAGAAAAAAAAGAAAACTATATTGAACTTACCGATTAGATCATTGATGTTGACATGCTCTGGTTAACTTTTCTTTACTGGAACTAATTGTCTTCTATAGTTATCTTCAATTGAATATGCTTTTTTTTTTCTTTGAGAAAATAAAAATCGTTTTTTT